ATGTCACCATTGTGTTTTCTAAGAGCATCTCCTATAACATTAGTACAGCAACTGGAAAGACATCAAGAAGAAATTCAGGAAGGAGCAAGGGACAATGGGAGCCAAGAAGGAAACAGAATGGCTACAGGAGGACACACAGGGTTGCTACTTACTAAACCTGAAGAACCTAGACCTGAAGAAGAGTAACAGGCTCCAGCTGGGGACATGGGCACAAATGTGGCCATGAAGGCAGCCTCTAGTTCAAGCCCAATTGTAGCCATACTGTGAGTTGGTTTCAGGCCAGTCAGGGGTATACTGTGAGACCTTATCTCAAAGGAGAGAGAAGAGTTCCATGTGCTCAGGAGGGGACTGAGGAGACAGTGTTTAATGAGATCATGGCTTCCATTTGGAGAGATGAACAAAGGTCTGGAAGTGCTGGTGGCAAACACTGGGCCACAGTGTGAATGTCTATAGGCCACTGAAACTCACACCTACAAATGGTTAAGGTGTAAATCTGTTCTTTTGCCATGGTAAGTATTGAAAATTTAAATTATTAAAACCTAATTTTAAAAATGAAGCTGATCAATCAATTAATATATAGTACACATATAGTCTAAGAATGTGGAACCAATCAGGTAGGAAGGGAAACAGCTAGGAGTTGTGAAAGTCATTTCTGGGAAGGGAAAAGTCCCTCAGCCCTAGGCCTGGTTCTCCTGTCCTGCTGACAGACTCAGCACCCTTCAGAGGCAGATCAGCCCCAAGGCATGTTCTCCTAACTATCTCTCAGAGATGTCAAAGACAGTAAATAAACTGCTTAACTGGGGCCAAAATGATGTATTTTAGCTTTGAGGTGTTGGCATTCTTCTCATTCTAAATTTAAACACCACCCTTCACAAAGCTTACAGTTTTGCTTACAAAAGGAAAAACTCTAACCTTTAAACCTTGTTGTAAATGACACTGAGCCACGTAGCTTAGAAAGACACAGATCGAGACACACCTGAGGACAGTTCCTTCGAGAAGCCCATTCCCCACACTCAGAGATCTCTTACTCTTTCCCTGGGCATCTTTCTGCTCAGCCATGTGATCTAGGATATTCTTTTAATGAAGTCTGCTGCTTACTGGCTCATCCTGAGAGTCCTTCCTGTATGCTGGAGCTGGAGCGCTGCATTTGTCTGAGTGAGGTCCAGAAAGAGAGAGGAACGCTTAGCTGAGGTGGAACTGGGATGCCGCTAGCAGGCTCTGGAGACGACTTGTTTAAAAATTGTGTCTGCTCTTCGTTCAATTCCCAATTACCACATGGGAGTGTTCCACCATCTGTAACTGCAGTGCCAGGGGACCTGACACCAACTCGTAGCCTCTGAAGGCACTACATGCAGGGAAGCATACAGATACAGGCAAAATATCCATGCACATAGAATACAGCTTTTAAATTCCTTGTGCCTTTTTTGTTTTGTTGTTGTTGGTTTTGTTTTTTTTTTTAATTGTTGCTGTTTTCTTTGTTTTGTTTTGTTTTTTATCTTTGAGAGACAAGGTTTCTCTCCATAGCCCTGGCTGTCCTGGAACTTGTTCTGTTGACCAGGCCTGTCTCTGCTTCTAAAGTGCTAGGATTAAAAGTGTGTACAATCACCACCAGGGTGCATAAGTTTTACTTTTGTAAAGATATATAAAAATGATGCCTGGTTTATGGTGATTTAGGTTACAATTCTTCAACACTGACTCAAAAAGGCCAGAAATACGTAGTATGGGACCCTCTTAGGGTGCTGGGCAAGCCACAGTAAGCAACAGCTCTCCGTTTCCTACATGACCAGAAAGAGCAGAGGATAGCACGAGTGTGCAGTCCTACTAAGCTGAGACAGTCGATAGGTTAGGTGTAGAAAATGCATTCCACCTTACAATCTTTTCAAACTCTGATGGTTTTGTGGGGACAGGACTCCACTGTAAGTCAAAGATTAGCTACATTTAAAAGTAAATCATGACCAGGCAGGGTGGTTCACACCTGTAATCCCAGTGGAAAGCTGGGGGAAAGAAGACTGCTCATGTGTTCAAGGCCAGCCTAGGCTTTAGTAGTAAGCTAACACTGCCACAAACAACCAATAGGATGTATTTACACACAGGTAAAATACAAAATGGGACCCTCAAACCTTCTGGTGGAGACATGAAATTGTAAACCCATTTTGAAACCAGGCATGGCATTTTCTTACAGTGTTAGACATATTTATTATGTGACTCAGCAAATCTCCCTGATATTCACCCAACAGAGATGCAAACTCTGCCCACACAGACGTGTTTGCAGATGCTCACGGCTATAACGTCATTTTAATAATAGCCCTAAACTAGAAGCAGCTGGAAATGTCAATCAACTGACTAAAGGACAGTAGCAATCCTCCTTTACCCACCATCTCACTCCTATGATAACCCATTGTCAGGGCCAATCACAATCTGAAATGAGAAATGGAAAATTCAAGAGATAAAGGATTCTGAAGTCTAAAACTGCATACGGTTCTGAGCAACACTGTCCCCCACATCCCACCAGGGACATTAACCACCCCTTTGTTCCATGTATCCATGCTGTCTATCCTTCCTACCTGCAGATACTGTGTATTTCTACGTATGCTTCCTATGTATTTCTATTCAGCCATAAGAAGGAATGAAGTACCCATTCACTGCGACATGAATAGCTCTCGAGGATCCATGAAGGAAATGAGGACAGAATACCATAAGTGTGTGTTTAGTTAGGGCTCCTAATGCTGCGACGGAACACTAGGACCAAAAAGCAAGTTAGGAGAAAGGGTTTATTTGGCTTACACTTCCATATCACTGTTCATTATCGAAGGACGTTAGGACAGGAACTCAAACAGGGCTGGAATCTGGAGGCAGGAGCTGATGTTGAGGTCTGGAGGGGTGCTGCTTAGTGGCCTGTTTGCATGGCTTGCTCAGCCTGCTTTCTTGAACTCAGGACTACCAGCCCAGGGATGACCCCACCCACAATGGTCTGAGCCCTCCCTCCCACATGCTCCACTAATTAAGAAAATGCCCTACAGTCTTACCTACAACCCATAGTATGGAGGCATTTTCTCAATAAAGCCTCCCTCCTCTGATGACTCTAGCTTGTGTCAAGTTGGCATAAAACTTAACCAGGTCACCTATAATTCTAATTCTTTGTAATATCTAAGAAAGGAAAACTGATAAACGAAAAGGCGATTGAAGGTCTCTGAGAGCTGGGGTGAGATTCGGGAGACAGCAGATGGATATATCGCCTTTCACTGGGCGACTGGAGCTTTCTAAAGTTAGAATGCAGTTGCCTTGGTACACTCAGGTACACAACAGAGATGAATCTCCCCTAAGGAAGTCCCAGATGAGGGCACAGACATGTGTGGGCCCTGGAGAGTTCTTTCTCTAGCTTGCTGAGGACCAACTCCTCACTGTGCGCTCAAGGGGCAGGGACTCAAAATGCAGCAGTGACTGAGACTGACAGCTGACCAATGTCTGGCCCAGAAAGTCAGAGAGAGAAACACTCAGGCTCCCTGGTGTTTCCACATGCAGGGACACTCATCTCATCATAAAGACTCATCCGGTTTAATTACCCCTCAAGTTCTGCCCACATATGAACGAGAGGGGCAGTTCAATCCTAGCAGCGCCAAAGGCTGCCCCACGGTGTAAGTATTCTGGAAATTTCTGATTAATCTTGGGGCATGTAAAATATACCTCAATAAAGCTGTAGATTAAAAAAAAAAAACAAAACAAAAAACAAAACCAAACAAAACAATGAATGAGGTCTGGCAGCCTATGTGGCAAATGCTTTGACTGAGTTATTGTTATTATAACAGCCCTGAAAGGTTGATATTATTCTCATATCACAGATAGGGAAACCGAGGCTTAGAAAAGTTAAGCTAGTCACACAATTTGCAAACACAGCAAAGTCAAATCCTAACCTGGTTTACCTGCTACCTTTAATGGGGTAGCAAGCACCTCCTGGCCTGGCCACAGAAGGTGGCAGTTAAGGATTCTTATGCTAGGTTCAGGCTATCCTTGTAGATCTCTGGGGTTCCATGGGTAACTGACAAAATTTTCTCTCTCCAGACCAGTATGCAGTTCAGAGGGATGGAGACTGACTGCTGACCAATGTCTGGCCCAGAATGTCAGATATTAACAGATGATGCCATGTGAAAAAATAAAATCGTATCTCCATCTGTGCAGCTCTCTCTGGAGCGGAAGGCAGGAGAGTTTTGGACCAGGGCACCAAGGATGTAGGATACATTTCCACTTGGACAGAAATGTCTTCAGGATGAGAATAGAATATTCTCTAGGGGGCTTCACGGTATTCACAGCAACACTAGAAGCTGGCTATGTTTGGGTCAGCATTACTTCAACAGTGAAAGGACTGACTTACTTTATTTTTTGCTTATTTTTGAGACTATCTATGTAGCCCAGACTGTCCTCAAACTTATGATCTCCCGAATGCTGGCACAAACACACCTGGCCAGGACCTACTTTTTTGGGGGGTTTTGCTATAAGACTGCCTTCAATCAACTATTCCCTGATCTGCCATTGTATTACTGGCTGATGAGGGATGAGCTACGTCTTACAAAGGCCCACAGTAGTAATGGCAGGCATCTAGCCCGAGCTGTCAGATCGGACAATGAGACTACAGCGGGGGCTCTCTGACCAAAGGCTGGCGCACCTTGCTAGGAGGCCTGCCTAATATGATTACCACCCTCCACCCTCCAGTTCACTGTTTAGTGAGCCTCTGAGTAGGAACTTCTCCAAAGAGACATCTTGTCCACTGGCTTCAAATGTGGATAGGGAAAAGTGATTTTTTTTTTGACTGTCAAATGTAAATTACAAACTCTTCATTTGAAAGAGGACAATGAAAACATTTTCAGTGCTTCTTGTTACTTCCCAAGACTTCATCCCTTTACCAAAAGCTAGTTCTTTTCAAACTATGAACCAAACAACAGTTCTGCAGCCAACAAGAGGTAAGCTATTCCCAGAGAATAGCTATGGCATTTTTTCCTTGTTACCTTGGTAACCGCTACCTTGGCACCCTTGTTGATGAGCTGAACCACATTCTCTGTTTGGCCTTTGTACGCAGCTATGAGCAGGCGTTCTGAGAGCGCAGCGACCGCATCCTGCTGGCTCATGAATTAGGAGAGAAAGGGGCTCTCAGGAAAGCAGTAGGTCAGTTTCTTCAGTTCCACATGCAGCCTCTGGCTGGGGCTGGAGTCCACAGCAAAAGGTGCTCAGAATCATGGGGGATGCCTTTGTTACTACTCCATCTTCAGGTCCTAGGGGGTCACAAAACAAAGCGGCCATCAGTGCCACTCAGCACAGGAGGACAGACAGACCACACCTCTACTGACCTCGGTGTTCCTCTGCTGCACAGCACAGGGGAGGGAAGCTAAGGAGACAGGAAGCCAAAAGCACACTTCCACAGCATGTCAGAGGGGAAGTCAGCAGAGTGTGCCAGCCTCTCCACTTCCTCCCTCCTCAGGATCATTCTCCACAAGATGGGCAGAACTGGGAGGCTGCGTTTCTACCCTGGGTAAAGAGGCCTGATACAACACGGGATGGAGGGAGGAAAAATGAGAATGACATAATTATATCTTAATTATTTTTTTAAAAGAAGGAGTCTACTATAACTCCCTAGATACCTCCTGGTTATACACATAACACGTACTATGTATGATCAACCTTTGATCTTGAGGGCCAGGCTCCTATGAATCCACCAAGGCTAGCATGCACTCAGAGGCCCTGATAGTCAGGATGTCTCTTTGAGGAGGCACTCCCTTCCCCACCCCTTCCCTAGCAAGCATGATTTCCTTCGTCTTTTATGCAAACAAAACAGTCTCCTGCATTCTGGAGCAGACGGAGAACTGAGCAGAGCCCAGGGTTGGCTCCAGTTCTGAACTGATGAAACACTCCTCACGTGAAGAAGCTGATGCCTCACTCAGTGCAGGCAGCTCTGGCACTGCCAGTTTAGGAACATCCAACATCTCCCACCCCCTGGATTAATGGGAAGAAAAGAAACCAAACCACTGAGGTCAGAGCCTTAACAGAACTCTAGACTCTGCACAAGCAGCCCTGATCATATCTTTAGAAAAAACCAAAGCCAGGCAGTGGTGGCGCACACCTTTAATCCCAGCACTTGGGAGGCAGAGGCAGGCGGATTTCTGAGTTCGAGGCCAGCCTGGTCTACAGAGTGAGTTCCAGGACAGCCAGGGCTACACAGAGAAACCCTGTCTCGAAAAACCAAAAAACTAAAACCAAAAACAACAAAACAAAATAAAACAGTTTTCAAGGTTTAAAAAAAAAAAAGAACAAACCAAGTCAGGGTACTGTTTTCAGCTCTGAGGCAGGGGGAGGAAGAGGGAGTCTTTGTGTTTAAAACATGTTTGTAGTAGCCAGGGAGATGGCTCAGGTATAGGCACTTGCTGCAAAGTCTGAGAACCTGAGCTCAGCTCCTGTACCCACATGATGGAAGGAGAGAACAGACTGCAGCAAGCTGGCCTCTGATGTCTCCATGGAAACCACATTATATGTATGTATGTACACAGACACACACACACACAAACACACACACACACACATATGGAAGACCACACTATTCAAATCAGATCATGTTTTGGTGTTCAAGAACATACTGGCATCTTTCACAGTTGCTTCCAGAAACTTGGTAATCATTCAGCCTTCGTAGAGTCTCATACACAGAACAGAGCCCAACCATTCCATTATAAGAAAGAGATCTAGGCAGAGGCAAACACTGTAATTTTAGATACTTCTTACCTACCCCCAATCTCTACCATCACATTTCATGTTGTTCTCCATCTGTTGCTCCCAATACGGGCAAAAGATAATAAGAAAAGAGAGAAAGAAACTCTGGCAAGGCCAGTCTGCTCTTGCTCACAGGTCACCGGAAGCACCGTGCCCCAGCTAGTCAGCCCTGAGATGTGCATTTCCCTTCCTATGCTGGAAATCGAGCCCAGGGCCTTTCACATGGCAGGCAAGTGTGCAGCCACAGTTACATTCCCAGCCCAATGGAAGAACAGAGTTAACACTCAAAGCAGTGAGAGAAACAGCTAGAAATGCCTTTAGAAGGCCCAAAGTCACACAGAACACACTTGAGGCTTATCTCCTACCTGTCTGTCTCCGCCACATACACACATACACATACACACACACACACACACACACACACACACACACACACGAAGGAGGTTTGTCTTTATGAAGACAGGGTGAACTGTTTCCTCTTATGCAGGGGGGCTGCATTCCATTCACACAAACTACACTGATTTGTTTCTCCTTCAACTCAAATACTGCAAAACCACTCTGTGCCAAATGCAGAAAAATGCACAGCCCTAGCCACCAGCTCCCAGATCTCCCTCCTATCTGCAGGTCCTTCCCTCTGTCTACCCATTTGCTATCTCTGTGCACTCGGCTCTCTCTGGACCCTTTCCCTTCCAGAACCCTTCTTGCAAAGGGTATCTGAGTCAAAGACGGCCTGATTGCTAAATTCCACCCAGTCTACTCCAAAGCTTGCCTGACAGGGCGAGGAGCTCAGCTGCACTTTCACCCCCACTACCCCAATTCCCACAGCCATCCAGCCCCCTTAGCAACAGACACGAGGTCCAACCAGCTTCTGGTAAATCACTTGCCACTCCCATCCCAGACAGCAGTCTCATGCAACAGATGCAGCCTCTCAGATAATGAGACTAAAGCCAGAAGTTCTTACGGTTACAGCTGCAGGCTGAGATAGCTTCATTTAGATAATTACCAGGTAAATTGCCCTTTGCATGTACAGCAACCATCACTATTAAAAACAAAAACAAAAACATAAAAACACCCCATTGATGAGGAAATCTTCATCAACCAGCAATGACATTTTATGTTTTGCTTTTCTGTTGCGGCTAAATAAGGACCCTCTTTACTTCCCACACACACCCGCAGACAGTGATCATTTACAACAGATCTTGGATACGCCCCGTCACCCCAGCATGCATGCTTGCACAGAAAACTGCTTGCAAGATGAGCAGCAGTACTACCACCCCAGGTTATCAGTTCTTATCAGCAGCTAACACCACTCGCTCACACTTGGACATCTCAAAGTCATTCTCAATTTCAGTGCAGGGATCACCTCACTGTTAGGACTTACACCAGCAGATGCTTTACACAAAGGGCAGGTGCACAGGACCACAGACGCTGAGTCTCCTCTCTTCCGGTTTCCCCTCCCAACCTCACTTGGAGTGAGAGGATGCTCTGCTCCCTGTCTGGGAACCAGCAAACTAGGCCAAATGGAGGCAGGCTGGGATAGGAAAGGATGGGAAAACCCCGAGAGAGACAGAAAGGAAATATAAGGGTGTGACCACCCCGCAGGCTATCAGTTAGACTTCACTGCTAACCTGTTGTGCCCTGGCTATCGAAGCTATGCCCTCTCATGAAATCTGAGCTTCCTCTTCCAGTAAGATAGCCACCATTCAAGAAGCCTTGTTGCTGGAAGTGAGCAATCTGTCTGCCTCACACCTGTCAATCACGTCCTTTGTCACGGTATTCGTTTTCATTGTGCTCTGAAACGCTGAAAGGCAAACTTGCTGTCTGTTCTTCAGGCAGGAAGGGAGCAGACAGCACAGTAAGTCCAGAGAGTACACCACAAGCAGTGGGGGTGCGCTCCTAAGACCCATGGCCTCCTCCCCTCCCAGCTCTACCCCTTCTGCATTCATTGCTCCCCAGTCAGCAATTTCTTTTGTTGCTTCTCTGTTTTGCTATGGATGGCAAAGGATCTATGAGGTTTAATTTTTCTTCTTTATTGATGATTTACAACCAACTCTCCTGGTGCCGGTCAATATCTGAAAGCCACCACATTTCATCTCCTCTCAATACACTACTTGAAACAAGCCTTTCAAAGAAAAGTCCTAGCCAGGCATTGTGCAGAGCCCACCAGAGCTTAGCCCACCAGAGCGGTGGTTAGAGAGCACAGACTTAGAATAACTAGCTTTTTCCCACCAGAGAGATTACTCACACATGGAGCTGTCCTCTGGGTTCTTTCTGGAAACGCTGTCAATTCTTTCCTGGGGAGATCATACGCTTCCTGGAGCTTCTTCTCCCAGTGGCTGGCTTGGATTTATCTACAGCAATTGTAAGCCTCCTTCCTTAGCTTCCCCTGCCGAGGATCGCTGCATCACCAACCTATTTAAGCATCCATTCAGCTCCAGATGCTGCTCTGTTGCCACTGTTCTGAGTGTTGGAGAGTCTGATTTTATGAGACTGCTTTCTCTTACAAGCGGAGGACCTGTAACCCTGCCCAACAAGAGTCGGAGCGATTCACAGCTGAGCTGAGCTGTGCTTCAGAGGGATGCTTGGGTGACCGAGAGGAGAAGTTTGCAGCCCGGTGTGAATGGGAGCACACAAGAAAGGATAAGAGGACGACCCACCGTCTTCACAGGAACAGCTGGGGAAATGCTGGCATCCTGCGCAGCAATCCAGACACAAGCAGCTTGAGCAGAGTCCCATACAGGGACTGCAGCATCAGCAGTGCAGACAGGGTCTGGCCGAGTAGCCACTGAGATGTCTGTAAACCCAATCTGCTGGTAAACTCCTCCACAGTGTGTGCAAGGGAGCGAGGGTGGGGGGTGGAGAGTGGAGAGCCCCTTCTGAGGCAGAAGCAGGTCCATTGCTCCTCTAGGCATCACAGGTGTGCCTTCTGGCCACTTCCTCAGGCAACAGCAACTCTCACTGGAGACTAGGCTTTCTTTTTGACTTGAGCTCAGATACCACATTTTCCACGTGAAGATAGGATTAGAAAGGGGAGAATAATTTGGCCAAAAATCCTGACCACCATCCTGCCTCACACCTCACCCCTTTTCCCCTCAGGACAGCAGTCCCTGTGGCCACAGGGCCAGCTTCTGCTCTTTGGCACAGAAAGGTCAGACTGTGGACTCTGGCCTATGCACTGCACAAATGTGGAAATATACCAGGAGAACAACTGCCAAGAGACAACACTGTCTTTCCCTTTTCTTTCTATACATATATATATATATTCTCTCTCTCTCTCTCTCTCATACACACACACACACACACACACACACGCGCGCACACACACACACAGGGTATTTTCATACTAGTTCATCTAAAACCAATCACACCCTACT